TCCTTTTAAGTGACACTAAAAGTTGGATGAAGTCCCACCGTGAAAGCGAAGCGCTGCTGGTTTTACATGTCGTCATATCTTATGATTTATGCAGCTATTATCGTTTAGTTAGACATCTTCTCCCGCTCAGAGGAAACCACTGCGCATGTCTGGAACTCCGTGTGTGAGTAAAGGTGGAGGCGATGGGTGACAACAGACACTAAGTCACGTTATCGCTTGGATTTTACGGCGCCACCTTAAGACCCTGAACTTCATATTTTAACGGAAAAAACCGCAACGCGACTTGGATGTAACGAGTAACGCGACGGTTTTGTAGAAATGTAGTGAAGTAGAAAGTACAGATACTGTAAAATGTAGTGGAGTAAAAGTAGAAAGTATCCATTATTAAATCTACTTAAGTAAAGTACAGATACACGAAAATTGTACTTAAGTCCAGTAACGAAGTACTTCTACTTCGTTACTTCCCACCACTGGGCGCCTGTACACACCNAGTATCCATTATTAAATCTACTTAAGTAAAGTACAGATACACAAAAATTGTACTTAAGTACTTCGTTACTTCCCACCACTGATGCTACCATTGCTAACATCAAAATTGAGCAGCCCATCCAGTTTGTGGGCTGGTGACCAACTGGTTTTAAAAGGATTATGAAGATTAAAAGGGGCTGATAGACGATACTTGTCTACCAATGAATAGGAAAAAATACTTTAATCTGTTCAGTAAGTGTAAATACACTCCTGCTTTATTTGGCTACATTAACTCTGTACAGTGTTCAAAAAGCCTGTTTATTCTGTAATTTCTTTTTTAAAGTTACCCGGTGCTTGTTAATAGGAACCTGCTTTAATCCTCTGCAGTGTTTAGCCATTTAGAAATATTTGTGTTTTATTAAACAATTTAAAACAAAAAAATGAGTATTCAGTTATGAACTGAGCAAATTAAAATGATTGAAATCTTCACGAAGAGAAAATGTTCGTTTGTAATCAGCTGACCTTAACATCAACAGAACAAATT